CCTAGTTTGCGTGCGCAACTCTTAGATTAGTGGGGGTTGTTGGACCCAACCCTTGGAAGTTTTAGTTTAGGATAGTTCAGTTCCTACACAAGCCTTCTGCTTGCTGCTTCTCTCTTCAATTTGTTAAGTCCACAAGTGTTTTATTGAGTTTATTCTTTGATCGTTTAAAGTCTTGACTTTATTAAAATAAAGTGTGTTCAGTGCTCCCTAAATCATCAGTGTCCACGTTATTTCGTCTATCAACCTGCTCCACATAAATAATCCTGTCAACTATTAAATTGAATCTCGATGGAGTGCTCATCAGAGCTGTGGCGGCCAACGTTCCCGCACTCAAACCTGGCGCTTAATTTTTGAATTGGCGCTAGTGTCCCACTAGTTACATCGTTGAAACGATTGGGACGTAACACAGCCCAGGAACAATATTTTTCTGTAGTGATTTTTAAGTTTTCGAGTTTGGGAAGTATGTAATACCAATTCCCAGACGAGAAATCATGAGAAGCAGTACAGAAAATCACCTTTTCATTTTTCAGTCATTCCATGTATTCACTATTCGGAGGTTAGATTTCCTTGTTATTCTCTTTTAATAGGTGATGCGCATGCGCGTCATGCGTTATTTCGGATTTTAGTTGAGTGTGGATAGGCGCTCGAAACCCGCTACTTTCCAGTTGACTATAGTCAACTAAAACCCATGCGGTTACACGCACGTATCATATAAAATATCTTTGACCGCTAAGAGATTTTTTATATTTTCATTTCATCCAAAAAAAGTAAGCATCCGAATATCCATATGCGGAAATTTGCATTCCACCAAAAGGGAGATGGCGCGATTGTTCGATACGCCCGAATGTAGATTTGTCCGACAGTATTAGGGAGTTTTTCGGCCAATTCACGAACTAATGACGCCAGGGTGCTACCGGTTTTCCAACATGGCGGCTCCCATGATCGAAAGAACATAATCTATTGTAAACATTTGAATGGTGTGTGCTCAAGGACCCCCGAATTGATATAAGTCAGTTAACGATGGTTTACCCTTGCTATTTCCCTAATTGCAAGAACAAATGTAGATTTCAGATCCCATCGAAATCTCCGCATATTCGTCAGCAGTGGTTGGATCGAGCTTCAAAGTTGGTCCCGTCATCAAAACGTATCAAAGAAATGAATTCCTTTAGTCATGTGAATATCGCGCACAGTTTTTCAACCATCACAATATGTACGTATGTATATAAGGGTAGATTTTATTTTTAATACTTTATTTTGGTTTTTTATATTTTATTACATAATCGTTATGTACTTCAAAATTGTTAACACGCCAAAAGAAATTATTCTTGTCGAATGTTTTTCTAATGGAAATTATATTTTTTAATCATTATTGTATCGTGAAGTATGGAAAGAGATAAACTATACACGTTTAATTACAGTTATAATATGAAAATATAAAATATTGTAAAAAGAAGTGAATTTCGGGAAACGCATTTGAGAATTTTATTTATTTCTCATTATAATAACTCATTGCATTAACAGAGGTGAGTTTGTAGCCCGACGAGCGGATAGGGGAAATGGGGCGGTGAGGGGACTCGAGACAGCAACCGAGCAAGGTAGCAGGGAGGGGGAAGTTCGACCGTAGTATATTTTGTCACTAGGCCGAAAAAAACTTTTCTGGCGAATACGAATTTGCCGCCCGAGCCGAAGGCGAGGGCTGCAATCATATGGGCTATAATAGTATATTTCAGCACGTGTGGGGCAATTTCGTCTTTAACGTGTGTGGGGTTTACAGCATGAGCCGAAGGCAAGTGATGTAACCCCACACGTTAAGGACGAAATTTCCCAACAAGTACTGAACAAAATTTTATGTCACGAAGCCTGAAACCGGCTGAATTAGACACGAGACGCGAAGCGTCGAGTGTGTAATCCAGCCGGTTTCAGGCCTGAGTGGCCTAAAATTTTTTTTTGTCATTCCGGCCGTAAGGCATTCGAAGCTCCGCTTCGCTCCGCGTCCGTGAATCTCTGCCTACGGCCGTCATAACAAAAAATATTGTCCGTCATACGGTCAAAAATACTTTTTGGGAACAGGTTGGAGAACAATGCTTGAGATTACCTTCCTCTATCATACCTTATTCGGGCGTATCGAACAATCGCGCCATCTCCCTTTCGGTGGAACACAAATTTCCGCATATAGATATTCGGATGCTTACTTTTTTGGATGAAATAAAAATATAAAAAATCTCTTAGCGGTCAAAGATATTTTTCAATGTTCTCAACCATCGGACCAGTCGTTCATCGGTAATTCTATCGTATATGGAATATTTAAATTCGTATGAATGAATAGTTGAACATTCACATATTCTGGAATATTTCCACTCGGAAAAATATATTTTCTATCATTCATCGCCTCGGTCGATTGATTTATCTGTTACTGAAATAAGTATGACAAAAACTGTGTAGAACATCAATAATTGCGGACAAATCACCCAATCGAGGATTGATAAATTCTAGCCATTTTGAAAATCAAACATTTAGAGCGTAGGGCATTTTGTTCGTCGGTCATTTCGTACATTCTGACGTTTGAAGTTTGGCAAACTTGGCCCCAACCTCTTTTTTTTTAAGAAAATGAAAATGGAAGAAATTCAGATTAATGAGATTCATAAACGTAAATGATGAATTAAAATTAAAAAAAAGAAGGATTAATCAATTTCGTGCATGATAAACGTGAGAAAATTGAAAGATATAACGCAGAGTAATTTGCGAGTTTGAAAAATTTGAAAATACCACGTGGTTTTCATTGACCAATCGGAGTTGCGGATTAGCGGTCAGGCGGTTTCGAGATATATCGATATATTGCTCAAGTGCCCAAAATTGATTTGACATATCGTGAGGGTATCTTAGGCGAATTATTTGGAGACGAAAATTCTAATGAAATGTTTATTAAGGAGCTATTCGTCAACGAGGCAACAATATATCATTTCGGCTGGAGGAATAAAAAAAATGGCGGGCGATTGGGTATTTAATACACAATGATCTGAAAAAAAATTGTTCTTCTGTCATTATGCCCATGATGCCCATGTCAGAGCCATTTGGTTCCTAAACGCAACGTAACCCTAAAAATGAGAGTCAATATAAAAAAATTATATTTACACTCTTATTCAATATCAAGAAATGAACTTGATTGGAATCGATTGGACATTCAATGCCATCATCTCTCCGCCTTGTATGGAAAAAGGGGTATGAATTTTCTATTGGGGCATAGCGCTTGATTGGCTGTCCTTTTTTCATATTATAAAGAAAGTGTCAGAGACAAAAATTTCATGAGAGTTTTCGTCTCCAAATAATATTTCCGTTTTGGGACCCCCTGTATATCGATGTATCCTCTTCTATAGAAAGGATTACTCACATCAACAATATTCCTCACACTGAAGCCTTCGTGTTGACGAATATGTTGCAAAAACACCATGAGCATTTGTCCATCAAAGGCATCTGGCTCCCTAGTAATATCATCTGCTCTATTCCTTAAATTAGTTTTGACACACTGAAACGGAAATATTCACTTCATAAACTGCAATTTAATTTTTTTAAACTTGTCTAGGATATAAGAAAAAAACTCACGTCTTCTAATTTATTCATTTGTGGAGCCTGCTCGCAGGAAGGAATCCATATCTTTACGTCATGATCCAACCCACTAGTAGCTAAAATTGGTACATTTGGATGTGATTCTAGGCGATTTACAACTCCCTGTTCATCTCCAGGGAACCACTGCACAATAGCTTCAGTATTTTTATCCCAGAAAAATATATTTCCACAGTCCGATCCTGATACGATAAACTCGCTTTTTGGCCCAAAGAAATTGACACTCTTGACGGTAGCATTGTTACGATGCCCCTCGTATCTGAAGAAAAATGATCAACGTTGATGAGAATATAAATCAATCAAATCGTTTAATAAAAGAAATAAGTGAGGACCGGCCGTGTAGCAAAAGTGGCAATCGGAGGAAAGTTAAAAAATTTTATGAATATCATCGTGCAATTATCTTTGAACTAGTTAGTCTAGAAAAAAATACACAGATTTTTTTTGTAGTTCACGAGATTCTTTTTTAATAGAGATAATAATTTATTTCTTTAAATGCCATAAATGAATTAAAAATTTATTTAAATTTATTCATGAGATACTTCCAAAATATAATTTTTCAAACAGTGATGAAAGGAATGCAGTAATTCTGCAAATGTTTCTAAAATGAGGAAGTCTAGCATAAAATTTCCAGAAATCCTTTTTGCAGTTCATGAAATTCTATTTTTTGTAAAGGTAAAGCAGCATGCTAAATTCTCTTATTTTATTCTAAAACGTCATTTTTAACAGAGTGACATAAAATAAATGCAATAATTCAGTAAATGTCTCTGAACCGAGTGAATGAAGAATTAAATATCCAGGTTATTTTTAATGTAGTCCATGGAATTTTCTAAAGAGAAAAGCTCCATTAATTTTTTTCAAATCGTTTCCTCTCCAAGATATTCGGAAATTACAATTTCGAATTATCGTTTTAATACGAAATCAATTGGTGACGATTCAATTCAGAAAAAAGTATCGATTCATTCTTACCTATGAGCAAAATCTCCAGAGGGATGGAGTACCACAGCATCAAAAAGATAAATATCATCATCATTGTACGACGCGATGATCTCAGTTCCATTATAATTGTACATGGCACAGGTAACATGAGCACATGTGTTATCAGACAAATTCTCAGGACAGAGTCTCTGCAAAGGCATCGATAATTTTCGTCTGTCATAGATTTTAACAGCCTGGGAACGCCCACCAACACAGAATTCGTTACTATTGCGAGGATTGATGTGGATGCTATAAAGATGCATGTCAGATCGTCCTTCTTTGACTGTCAGCATCTTCGTTGGTTTTCCTCCTCGAATATCGATGCACAAAACCTTTGCATCATCTCCAACTGAGAGAATTGTGTGGGGATGATCTGCGTGGATGCCCAGTCGTCGAGCAGCGCCATGGTGAGACGCCAATTTACGATGAGCCCCAGTGCAGATGTCGAGAAGACGAACCTGACCATCACGAGCACACGTTGCTACGTAGTTCTCGAAGTCGAGTGGAAGCCACTTGGACTCGAAGACGTTGCTTTTGTGCCCAGTTTCAAATGTATGACGCTTTTTACCAATCGCCCAGTCCCAAATTACCACTCGTAAATCATCTGAGGCACTGGCCAACAAATTACCTTCGCGATTAAAGTTCAATGCGTTCACACAGCCCTAGAAGGGAGTAAACAATAGTGAATGGAGTATCGAAATTTGAGATTAAATAGAGAAGTCTGCAAGCAGAGAGGTTGGAAGAAAAGAAGTTGGAATGAAGATTATTTCGCAAATTCGTGGCAATGGGCGAATTTCGAGAAAGTTCATTAAAATATTTTGAATATTAAAATTTTTGTTGAAAATATCAACACAGAAAAAAAAAGTGAAAATCTCCGAATTTCGAAACTCTGTTGTGTCCAAATCTAGCAAGCAAAAAATTCGGGAAGTAAGTGCAATCAGAAAAACTTACAATTCTCAACAATTATTACTTAAACTAGGATAATTGTACGTAAATTCAGCCACATTTTCTCTCATTTCAAGCGTATCTTGGTTTCGGGATTCAAAACTTTTGGGTTCTTGAATCAAGAACATTCTCGTTGTTAAAATTAATAACTTTTTAATTAAGGCCCGGGTGGATTACCACTCGAACGTGATCTTGGTCGTTTTTTTTTACTTTGATAATCTGAAATGATTTCCAATTGCTATTCAGTTTTACATAGCCCTGGAGTCTCAAAAAATATTATTGTACAATCAAAAAAAAAACCATTGAAAAAAAGCTGAACATTTTCAAAGAGCGTTGTTGAATAATATTGGGAAATAACCGCAATAGAGAAGAAATTGCAAATTAATAATTTGATGTATCTAATGGCTGTTAGGTCGTCATTTGTTACAGTAAGGTGATAAATTGTCCATTCGCTATTTCCTCATCATCGGAATTATTGCTTAATGTTTATTAAAAACACTCTTTGAAAATGTTCAGTTTTTTTCTACTTTTTTTTTATTGCACAAGCGTAATTTTTAAGGACTCCTGCATGACGTAAAATCCAATGGAAATTATGATATATTTAACATTATGAAGATGGAAAAACAATCGAGATAATGTTCAAAAGATAATCCACCCGAGCCTTAATTTAAAAATAATGTAATTTTTCAAGTCAATTTATTTATTTTTATGTCGCGCCGTGCAATAAGTCGAGTTTATCGCATGCTGCGCTTCGCGCAGCTTGCTCAAAACTCGACTTCTGAACGGCTTGACATAAAATATTATAGAGCACTCGGTAATAAATTTCGTTTTCAACGAATGTGTAGTTTACAGGCCGAGCCGAAGGCGAGGTCTGTACACACATTCGTTGAAAACGAAATTTGTGCCCTTGTACTCTAATGTAATATTATAAATCCCTTGTTATTATAACTATACCAGCTGATACCTTGCTTCAATTAATGTTCAATTGTTTCAGAATTACACACCACTTTTTTCTAGTATCAGAAGTATTTGATGGATAGATCTTTTCAATTTATTTTTTATAAAAAAAGTGTTGGTATGAAATATCATGAAATTTTAATTTTTCACTTACATTGTTTATTTATTTAACAGAAGGAATTGAGTGATTTTAAATTCCATACAATTGATTTCGTGAAAGGTCTTATAGAATACATAAAAAAATCGTTGAAAAATGTTAAAAATGGAAGGACTAGTAGGGTTTTCATGAGTTGAAAGAAAATAAAAATGAAACATTCCCATAGGAAAAGTAAAAAAAAACTTCGGAGGCCTATTCCCATCACAAAAATCAATTCACGTGAATGAGGGACTAAAAAAATGTCCCCTCCACCGCTTTCTCTTCTTACATCGGTCTACTTCATTTTTGAAAGAGCGATCAGCTTGTGAAATCGGATGATTCTGAATATAATTTTCCAGATTTATTGTAATCTGATTATTGATTGAGCTCCCAGTGACAGAAATATCCATCGAATTATTTTTTTTAAATTTCTATCGCCAATTGACATTTTCCGATTTTTCTGACTCATAAAAACCCTACTACTGGTCCTAAAATTTTCAATATTTTTTAACGATTTTTTTTTGTGTATTCGACATGACCTTCCGCAAAAATAATCGTATGGAATTTCAAGTTACTCAATTCCTTTTGTAAATAAAAATTGTTTTTTACAAAAAAATAAAAAATGCATGTAAAATAAAAAATGTATCTTAGAAATTATAATGACACAAATTCAACGCACGTTTTTTTTGTTTTAAAAGTAACAATGAAGATCTTTATTAATTAAAGTAAATAATGCAAAAGTCTCGATCGGATTCATCTCAACTCTCAGTCGTTCCGATTACTCAACACCATCAGAACTCAAACTTAATTCAACTCCCTCTATTTTCTCCCCATTGTATACTTCGAGAACTCTCTCTCTCTCTCCCGCCCTCTCTTCCCCTCCCGGCCCTCTCTCCCTATCCTCTCCTCCTCCTCCGCCTCCTACATTCTAGAACTTTCCACACTTGGTACCTGTGTGTCTCACTCTCATTCATTCACAAAACGAATCGCTATCATGTATGTTGTTGGAAAATGAAAATTTCATGATGTTACCTGCCTACACTTACCTTTTACATAATGCAGAAATTCCAAAATATTTGTCGCAATTTGCCATCAAATACTTGTGNATATTATAAATCCCTTGTTATTATAACTATACCAGCTGATACCTTGCTTCAATTAATGTTCAATTGTTTCAGAATTACACACCACTTTTTTCTAGTATCAGAAGTATTTGATGGATAGATCTTTTCAATTTATTTTTTATAAAAAAAGTGTTGGTATGAAATATCATGAAATTTTAATTTTTCACTTACATTGTTTATTTATTTAACAGAAGGAATTGAGTGATTTTAAATTCCATACAATTGATTTCGTGAAAGGTCTTATAGAATACATAAAAAAATCGTTGAAAAATGTTAAAAATGGAAGGACTAGTAGGGTTTTCATGAGTTGAAAGAAAATAAAAATGAAACATTCCCATAGGAAAAGTAAAAAAAAACTTCGGAGGCCTATTCCCATCACAAAAATCAATTCACGTGAATGAGGGACTAAAAAAATGTCCCCTCCACCGCTTTCTCTTCTTACATCGGTCTACTTCATTTTTGAAAGAGCGATCAGCTTGTGAAATCGGATGATTCTGAATATAATTTTCCAGATTTATTGTAATCTGATTATTGATTGAGCTCCCAGTGACAGAAATATCCATCGAATTATTTTTTTTAAATTTCTATCGCCAATTGACATTTTCCGATTTTTCTGACTCATAAAAACCCTACTACTGGTCCTAAAATTTTCAATATTTTTTAACGATTTTTTTTTGTGTATTCGACATGACCTTCCGCAAAAATAATCGTATGGAATTTCAAGTTACTCAATTCCTTTTGTAAATAAAAATTGTTTTTTACAAAAAAATAAAAAATGCATGTAAAATAAAAAATGTATCTTAGAAATTATAATGACACAAATTCAACGCACGTTTTTTTTGTTTTAAAAGTAACAATGAAGATCTTTATTAATTAAAGTAAATAATGCAAAAGTCTCGATCGGATTCATCTCAACTCTCAGTCGTTCCGATTACTCAACACCATCAGAACTCAAACTTAATTCAACTCCCTCTATTTTCTCCCCATTGTATACTTCGAGAACTCTCTCTCTCTCTCCCGCCCTCTCTTCCCCTCCCGGCCCTCTCTCCCTATCCTCTCCTCCTCCTCCGCCTCCTACATTCTAGAACTTTCCACACTTGGTACCTGTGTGTCTCACTCTCATTCATTCACAAAACGAATCGCTATCATGTATGTTGTTGGAAAATGAAAATTTCATGATGTTACCTGCCTACACTTACCTTTTACATAATGCAGAAATTCCAAAATATTTGTCGCAATTTGCCATCAAATACTTGTGGGACTTCAAAAAAATATGTGACCCCCCCCCCCCCCC